TCCAGGTTCATTCTTCTGCATGTCGCTGTCCAGTTTTCCCAGCACCACTTGCTGAAGAGACTGTCTTTATTCCACTGGATATTCTTTCCTGCTTTGTCAGAGATTAGTTGGCCATACGTTTGTGGGTCCATTTCTGGGTTCTCTATTCTATTCCATTGATCTGTCTGTTTTTGTGCCCATCTTTTCCTAGTTTCTTAAGGTAAAAACAGAGGTCATCAGTTTGAGACCTTTCTTCTTTTCCAATATAGGCATTTAGCACTATATATTTCCCCCGAGTACTGCTTACTGACATCCCACATATTTCAATAGGTTGTGCTTTCATTTTCATTCAGTTCAAATACTTTCTAATTTCCCTTCTGATTTCTTCTTTGATCCATGGGTTATTGAGGAGAATACTTAGTTTCCAAATATTTGGGGACTTTCCAGACATCTTTCTGGTATTAGTTTTTTATTTAATTCTACTGTGGTCAAAGAATATACTTTCTATGACTTCAATCCTTTTAAATTCATTAAGCCTTGTTTTATGACCCAGAATATGGTCTATCTTGCAGATGTTCCATGTACACTTGAAAAGATTATGTGTTTTGCTGTTGTTGGACAGAATGTTCTATAAATGTCAATGAGGTCAAGTTGGTTGACATGCTATTCAAGGCTTCTACAGCCTTGTTGATTTTGTCTGCTTGTCCTATGAATCCCTGAGAGAAGGATATTGAAACCTCTGACTATAATTGTGGATTTGTCTATTTCTCCTTGCAGTTCTGTCAGTTTCCATGTATTTTGAAACTCTGTTATTAGGTGCATACACATTAGGATTGTTATGTTCTCTTGAGAATTGACCCCCTTATCATTATGCAATAAACTTCTTTACTTCTGGTAATATTCTTTGCTCTGAAATCTGTTTTCTTTTTACTAACTTTTTTTTTCTTTGTGCTCTCAGAAATAAGTACCATGAGGCCAAGGACCGTGTCTTGTTTTGTATCCCTAACACCTACCAGGGTAGCTGGCATTTGGTATGTACTTAACAAATCTTTATTAAAAGACAGAAGGAAGGGAGGGATTGGAATACATCTGTAGATACAGGACTAGGGACTAGGAATACTTAATGAAAAGGTGCCAGTACCTGTTCTGAGGAACGTATAGCATACTAGGTAAAACAAGTACAGAGGCAATTTCAAGAGTATGATATGAGCCATTAAAAGTATAAGCACAAGATGCTTTGGAAGATGTTCAGGAAGAACGGTTTCTAGAAGGAGGTAAACTCTAAGCTAATACCTAAATAGTAAAGCTAATCACAAAAAGAGGGAAGAATAGCCTTCCATAAGGAGACAAGAGCATGAGCAAAGAAACACAGGTAAGAGAGAATACAGTGCTGGAGCATTATGAATGTATGTGAGAACTCTCTCAGGGAGTTCCTATTCTGTCTAGAAAACATACTGCCCAAGGCCTCCTCCACACTGGGCCCTTGTGGCTAGTGGGCTATGCTTTTATATGCCCACACATATCTGTTCCCAATAACTGAATTGTGTGCTTATTAAGAGTCTTAAATTGTCCCTGTTTCTGCTAGCTGCTCTTATTATTGTGGCTCAATTAGACAGTAATACAAGCTAACTAATATGAATGCAAAAGCCTGTTGTTATTTCCATGAGAACCAAGCTGAATGCTTTCAAAATACTAGACAGAAAAAACAAACAAACAAACAAACAAACAAACAAACAAATTTGTTCTCAAAGTATGTATGAAGGATACAACTGTAAAACTGAGGGGTTAAAATTTCAAATTAGAAGACTTGTACTTTAAAACGATGTAACCAATAATAATGGGGAGGTGAGAGTGGAAAGAAATGTGGTTAATGTGGTAAGCAGGGCCCACAGGGCTTTGTATACTCCCTAAGGTGTTTGGATTTTATCCTGAGTTCAGTGGTGAGCTGACAAAATCAGATTCACATTTCATAAAGATGACTCTGACTGCAGAATTAAAAGTAAAGGAGCAAGACCGAATGGAGCAAGACTCGTCAGGAAGCTGTTGCAGGAGCCCACGCAAGAGATGATGGTGACCCAACAATGACTTTAGCATTCTTAAGAACTAATTTTATGGGTTAAACAGGCTTTTGTGACTTTCTAAGAAACCAGCATTGCTAACACAGTTTTCATGGAAAAGCATGTTCCAAAGAACCAATTACAGGCCAATTAGCATACAACTTATTTGTGCACTGGGAACTGTTTACGATTTATTTGCCAATAAAAATGGTAACTTCTACAGAAGTCTCATCTGCTTCCGCAAATCACAATCTTGATCTGGATCATTTCCACTGCAATTGTGAAACCTCCTTCTTATGCAGAGGACATCTAAAAAAGGTCTGTTTCTAAATATGATTTTCAAAAATAGATGTTTTCAAATGTTTGTACAAAATGGAGGTTAGGCTTTGGTATTTGTGACTATAAACTACTCTTAATACCCAGAAAAGAAAACAAGAACACTTACTTCATGAAATACTGCTCCAGAATACGGAGACACTCCCAAGTCCAACAGTGAAAGGCCTTCAACCACTGAAAAGTAAGACATCCAAGTTCACTTCACTTCATCCAAGTTCAGAGACATATGCAGATGGCCAGAGACCAACGTATTAGATACTCCCAGGGACAAGAAGGGCCTCACAGTTTGTCCAACCCCCTTTACCTCAATCCCAGCAAGTGGCTTTAAATCTTGATTTGAACATTTCAGATGACATGAAACTTTTTTCCATACAGAGCATCTATTTTCACTGTGGGGCAGCTCTCAGGAGAAAATTTTGTTAAACTATGAGCTTTCTTTGATCTCACTGTAATTTCCACCCACTCTAAAAAGTGTTTCCTTTATGTATATTTTGCCACATTCCCCAAAATAATAAGACAACATATTAGAAGTTGAGAAATGTTGTCCCTAGTGTGGGGAAATGGACACTTTCATATGTTGCTTGAGTGACATTTGTATTAAATTTTCTACAGGGAAATATGTACTTTTTTTTTTTAATTTTTTTTTTCAACGTTTATTTATTTTTGGGACAGAGAGAGACAGAGCATGAACGGGGGAGGGGCAGAGAGAGAGGGAGACACAGAATCGGAAACAGGCTCCAGGCTCTGAGCCATCAGCCCAGAGCCCGACGCGGGGCTCGAACCCACGGACCGCAAGATCATGACCTGGCTGAAGTCAGATGCTTAACCGACTGCGCCACCCAGGCGCCCCAAATATGTACTTTTTAAGTACTTTTGACACTGAAATGATTGTTCTTAGGGCAATTTATCTTAGGGAAATAACTGTATGTTCATTATGGTGCTCAGAGCATTAAAAAAATAAAAATAATTCCTTGGGACGCCTGGGTAGCTCAGTCAGTTAAGCGTCCAACTTTGGCTCAGGTCATGACCAGCCCCACATCCAGCTCCGTGCTAACAGTGGAGAGCCTGCTTGGGATCCTCTCTGTTCTCTCTCTCTCTCTCTCTCTCTCTCTCAATCTCTCTCTGCCCCTCCCCCACTTGTGCATCAGCTCTCTTTCTCAAAATAAATAAACTTAAAAAAATAATCCCAGGGGTGCCTGGGTGGCTCAACTGGTTAAGCATCTGACTTTGGCTCAGGTCATGATCTTGCTGTTAGTGAGTTCGAGCCCGGCCCACCTCGGGCCCTGTGCTGACAGCTCAGAGCCTGGAGCCTGCTTTGGATTCTGTGTCTCCCTCTCTCTCTGCCCCTCTCCACTCTCACTCTGTCTCTCTCTCAAAAATAAATAAATATTAAAATAATAATCATCATCTCAATGTCCATTAATAGAGATTTATCTAAATAAATTATGATATGTATATATGTGGATGTGTGGATAGATACATAGAAATATTTCATAGTTAAAAATCATACTATGATATAAATGAATATAAAGAAGTGGATGAGCAAAGAAAGCTCTTCCTTACAGAGAACTATAAGTATCAAATGTAGAAGGAAAGATGGAAATAGAAAATCACCATTTGGGAGACCTCACAGTAATAATTGTGAAAGGCAAGATCATCAAGGGATACTAAAATCAGGGAGAAAAAATATGATGAGAAGCCATATTTGCAAGGGGGGAAATAATTTCATATGGACAAACTTGGCACTCACTACCTTAATCGTGTGACCAAAGTTAACATCACCAGTAATAACGTTGGACAGTTCACACTATCAACATCAAGTACCTCCTGAAATGATTCACTGAGATGGGGATAAACACTTCTGTAGTCCTTATGCCAAAAATGTGGTACCCTTGCCAAAAATGTGGTACCCTGGCCAAAAAAGCATAATTTCAATCTAATCATGAGAAAACATCAGGAAAACCCAAATTGAGAGACAAAATAGCCGGCCAGTGCACTTCAAAAATGTTAAGACTGAGGGGTGCCCTGGGGGCTCAGTCAGCTAAGCATCTGACTCTTGATTTCGGCTCAGGTCATGATCTCATGGTTCATGAGATTTGAGCCCCATGTCAGGCTCTGGCTCTGCACTGACAGCTCAGAGCCTGCTTGGGATTCTCTGTCTCCCTCTCTCTCTCAAAATAAATAAATAAACTTAAAAAAAGTTAAGACTGAGGAAGTGTCCCAGATTGGAAGAGACTAAGGATACATAATAACTGAATGCAGTGTGGGATTGTGGACTGAATCTTGGACCATAAAAATGACATTACTGGTATAATTGATAAAATTCTAATAACAGATTAGTTATTAGTATTGTATGAATAATAATTTTCTGGGCTAGGTCAGTGTACTATGGTTATGAAGGATGTTAACATTAGAAGAAGTTGAGTACCGGGTAAACAGGAATTCTGTACCATTTTTGCAACTTTTTGAAATCTAAAATTATTTCAAAATTAAGAGTTAAAATAAAAAAGCACATTACAGATATGCATTTACTAAAAGAAAGATGGCCATGAAATACTCTTAAATGAAAAGCAGGTTGGGGCGCCTGGGTGGCTCAGGCCGGTTGTTACCCCGACTCAGCTCAGGTCACCATCTCTCCAGCGCGAGTAGCTCGCCAGCCTGGCCGTCAATTGTTATTTTGTACTAGGAGCTGAGCCTGCTCCAATCTCTGTGTCTCCTCTGCCCCTCCCCGTCATGCTCTGTCTCTCTCTGTCTCAAAAATAAAAAAATAAACGTTAAAAAAAATTTAAAAAAAAAATGAGGCAAGGGAATTAAAAGCAAAAGTGAATTATCACTATGAGCTAAAAAAGCTTCTGCACAGCAAAGGAAACAAACCAACAAACAGCAACCAACGGAATGGAAAAGATATTTGGTAAAAGACATTATATCGGACAAAGGGCTAGTATCCAAAATCTATATAAAGAGCTCACCAAACTCCACACCAAAAGCAAATAACCAGTGAAGAAATGGGTGAAAACATGAATAGACACTTCTCAAGAGACATCCTGGTGGCTCTCTGATGCTCAGAGCCTGGAGCTTCTGACCCGTGGCTCCCTCTCTCCCTCTGTCATGCTCTGCCTCTCTGTCCCAAAATAATAAAAAACGCTTGAAAAAAAAATTAAAAAAAAAAAAGAAGACATCCGGATGGCCAAAGGCACATGAAAAGATGTTCAGTGTCGCTCCTTATCAGGGAAATACACAATCAAAACCAACCAGGTATACACGCACATAGTCCAAAAGTACAAAAATGAACAAATAGTGAAGACTAGTAGATGCTGAGAGGATGGAGAAACGGGAACCCTCTTACTGTTGGTGGAATGCAAATGGTGCGCCAGCTCTGGAAACAGGGAGTTCCTTGAAAATTAAAATAGATCACCCTATGACCCAGCATAGCACTGCTAGAATTTATCCAAAGGACACAGGAGTAATGGATGAAGGGGCACTTGCACTATGTTCATAGCAGCACTCCAACAAAAGGAAACCAGAATTCTTAAACCACAACGATGAATGAGCAAAGAAATTGTGTTTATATACAATGGAATACTATCGAGAAAAAAATGAAATATGGCCTTTGAGCAACTGGATGGAACTGAGAGTGTGATAAGTGAAATAAGCCATACAGAGAAAGACAGAATATTATGAGCCTCACTCATTGGATCCTGAGAAACTTAACAGGAACCCATGGGGGAGGGGAAGAAAAAAAAAAGAGGTTAGAGTGGGAGACAGCCAAAGCATAAGAGACTGTTGAGAACTGAGAACAAACTAAGGGCTGAGGGAGGGGAGGAGAGGGTGGGTGATGGGTATGAGGAGGGCACCTTGGGATGAGCACTGGGTGTTGATGGAAACCAATTTGACAATAAATTTCATATATAAAAAAAAAAAAGAATATTTGTCCCTTCAAAAAAAAAACAAAGTACTTTATAAATAAAATTGCTAAAAACAAAACAAAAAAAAATGAAAAGCAGGTCATAACACAGTATGTCAGTATGATCAAATTTTATTTTAAATACTTATTTTAAATATTTATTTTAAATAAATATTTTAAATATTTATAAGCCTTGATCCATTTAATTATTTGAGAGAAAATGAATATGTATTCAATGAGAAATGCCTCAAATTAAACATAAACCTTAGGCATTAAACAAAATAAATAAAAATTTAAAATACAGCAACCATCTCTGCTGATAAGATTACAGAAGATGTTTAGTTTCTTTTACCTTTTCTTCATTTTCTGAATCTTTAGCAATGAGCACTATTTCATAATTATTAGAAAGAAACAGGAAATTTAATTTTAAAAAAATGAGTGAAGGATAAGAAAAAACATAAACGGACACACAAAAAACTATAAAAGGTATGAGCTTATATATGCCTAAAATCTCAGAAGTACATGTAAGAAACTGATATACGTAAGAATCTGGTCCCTCCAGGGAACACAAGTGGGTGGTTATAGGAAAGTGGTATGGAAAGGTGCCTTTTAATCATATAGCCTTTTGCACCACTGGTTTTTGAATCCTGTGATAGAATTACCTATTCAAAGATAAATAAAACAAAATCAAAGTTACAAAGCCTATTCCAAAAATATATATTTATAATGAGTGGGCCTTAAATGGACCCACCCTAGAAGGAAACTTAATCAGTTACAGAGTTCATACTGGCTGTTAAAATAAAAAAAAAGCTATTGCTCAAGACAGCTATAACTGGTCCTTATACTAGGACCAGGAAGAAATTTGCCCCATGGAGCCACATAAAGAGGTTGCTGTGTAACACAACTATTCAACCCTTCACTAACAGCTTTACTGGAGACCCCAGGAGATGATTCATCAGGCCACTTCACAGGGCAACTCCCCACCTAAGTCAATGGCATCCTACCACAGAGCAGTAAAAGCAATTCAACAGAGGACCAGTAAGATGCTGTCCATAGACATCACTCTCCACTGGTTTAATCCAGAAGGAGATTGCATACTTTTTAGGCAATTGTCTAAAATGTAATTTCTCTCAGATATGCTTTTGCTAGGATATTGTACACCTCAAAATTTGTTAATGTGTTTTCTGGCAAGTGCTTAGAATGTGGCACTGCTATCATGATGATTAAATATGAACTCATATTACTTAATAAATAATTGATCTAAGGAAAG